GTGTTCTTCAGGATCAGCTCCAAGGCATCCTTCTCCACAATGGTTCGGGGGATGTCCTGGAAGAGGGTGGTTCGGGGTGTATAGAACTAGTAGAGAGTAAGACATCTTATATACTATATTGGGGGGGTTATAGATGCATGCGGTAGATACTACATAGGAGTACATGCTATGCTGCATAAAGGTGCAGTTTAGGAAGTTTCGCGTTGTGCTGCAGGGTTGGAAGTAGGAGTGTCATGGCCCCGGATAAAAGTAATAGGTCCTGCAGATAAGCAATCTTGGAAATGTCCGCCGTCTCCTTCACCTGCGCTGCTGTGGCTCATCCGATCCATGCCGGGAACATAAGGGTCCCACCAAAAGTCAGTGTGCCAACCACGCTTACGCACACAGAAAAGCTTTCCTAATTCCTTAAAACTCTCCGTCTCCCTCTCCATCGTCGTACAACTCCTCATGTCCTTCAATTCTATCGGGCATAGCCGCATGTTGTTTTACAAGACGTGATCTGGCTCGAGTAGCCTTCAATTTCGGCCCCAAGTCTTCAGCGAAGCTCTCGAAGCACTCTGGTCCTGGTTCTCTTCTAATAAATAAATCAAAAAATATATATATTATGTAACAATACATAAGTATGTATACACACATACATACATACATACATACATACATACATACATACATACATTCTTGAGTTGAGAGCCTTATCCCGCTTCTGCACCAGGGAAGAATCCCGTGTGCAAAATCCATGTGCGTATGGCCACACCCACACACACCTACCTGCCGAAACAGCAACCCACGCTGTGACCTAACCCGTGAAGCTCGGGTCCCGAACCAAAAGTTTGGGCATTGTCCGATCAAGGGGCCGCGATGTCAGAGCCCTGCGCGCGACGTGCGGCAAGGCCCCGGCCCACAGCGACCTCGACGGCATCAGTACATGCTAACAGGGTTGCTGTGGCTTTGGCTGCTCACTATTCTGATACCGGTGCTTGGAGGGACTCTTGCGTGCCAAGTACCAGCGCACCGAAGCCCATGCCGAAGCAGAGAACGCCATGGGTGCCCAGAGCCTGAAAGTCGCGGCTGTGACCGCATGGCAGCGCCCTTGAAACTTTCTGACTTCCAGCCAGGGCGAGGCCTCGTGAGCGGAGGCAAAGGTGGCCTTTGCAGAGGAGATGCGGCCGGGGCCGTGCTGCGGTGCCTCAGACGATCCCAGAGTCCCAGAGTCCTATAGACCGACTCCCGCAGTCTTGGATTCATGAAGGGAGGCGAGGCACGCCGTGGCCAGTCACTCCTGCGGTGAAGGCCGGAGCCTCCGACAGCAGCAGGGTGGCGGCGCAGAGCACCTCGAAGCGGCTGCGGCGTGTCGCTTGCGATGGCGGCTTTTGAAGTAAAAAAACTGTGGCAACAGCCTCTCCAAGCTTGCGGCACTGCCAGAAACAGTCATCTAAAAATCGATATTATATCTAGTGCGGTAAGACTAGCACCATCCTGATCTATTGCTTCTGCAACAATTTCCTGGCATGCCCCTCTTTCAGCACAAGGTGCCGCCACCGTCAGAGCCGTGGACACGTTCAAGAATTCGCGCATGGCTCGCCAGCCGCGTTGGAAGAGGGGGGCTATAGGCGCGACTGCTCAAGGGCTGCGAGGACGACTTATGAGCGGAGCTTGCAGAGGCAAAACACTCGCATCGCCAAGCATACGGTTGGATCGATCGATTCAGCTCAGAGGAACTTCGAAGAAGAACACCAAGAAGCTCCAAGCTCGTGACAGTGGGTGCCTGAACTCTCGAAGTCATGGAACAAGACCCAATGGCCCCCAAAGTCAAAAGCAGCGAAGGACGTCCCGGGCCCCTGCCACTCGAAGGGCCGATGGCCTCAAGGTGCCGAAAAGGTCCATGGCCTGTTGCTCCAGGGCTTATTCTCGCGCAAGCCAGGAGAGGTTCGGGCTTCGGGGGCTCCGCTAGGCTTCGCATTTCATCAATAATTGCATTTCTCACTTGTGACTTGGGCTGACGGGTACTGTGCAGCGCCCTCCCTTCAGCCCCCACAACCCAATTCCAGAGTCGATCTTCCAAGCCAGCCAGCCAGCCAGCCATGCCCTTGACTCCTTGACACCCACACATACTTAGTTCTTTGACTCCTGGGTTGTCAAGACAATTGGGGATTCTTCCGACCTCGGTGCTTGAATTCGGATTGTGGCAATGACAACTACGTCGCAAGTCCAGCCTCGCATATACCTTTAGCAGCTGGCTGTGTGACCCTTGCTCTTCTGTTAAGTCAGACTTGCAGCTTCTTCTGCTAGCCACGTCAGTTCCCGGTCCGCCCTGAAAACCAAGGCCTGTCGCCATCGCTCGGCCTCGCCGCAGGCGCTAACGGCAGCACTGTGGATGACGACCTCGCTTGGTGACTTGGAACTACGGGATACTGCGGCGGCTAAGGGCTTGACGTCAGGATCCAGATTGCGTGTTTGTATGTGCCGGCTCCATGTTGTTAGCCGCGACACATCGCTGCGCAGCTGCTGCGAGGGGAGCGACGCAACAAGCTCCGTCGCCTTCCATGTCTAGCAGCACGGCAGGCGTAGTTTCACACCACATCCGGGAGAAATGAAGTGACTTCCATGCAAAGGGGCAGCTTCGTGCACAGAGCCCAATATATGCCGCAGCCTGATTTTGGATCGTAGGTTTGGGCCGGATGTTGTCAAGCCCCATCCCCTGAGAATCAGATCGAGGCACAGGAAACAGGCCGGGAACGCCCAAAACACAAAAAACCGACTTCAGGTCATTGGGTTCCGTGCCTCTCCCCACATCCAAGCACGGGCTGCTGCACTCACCTTGGCTGGCAGTGCAAGCCCTCATGACCGCCCGCATCTCAGGATTGGGGTGAGGTCGCTGTTGGGAGGTGCTGGCTCCATGTTGAAGCAACCAAGCCTTTCAGCCAGGAGTGGGGTAAAATCGCTGTTGGGAGGTGATGGAGCCACTTTGAAGCACAAACCTGGCAGCCAGGATTGGGTAAAATCGTTGTTGGGAGGTGCTGGTGCCATTGTGAAGCAACCAAACATCTGTCAGCGAGGATTGGCGTAAACTTCTTGTTGGGAGGTGCTCGCACCATTTTGATGCCACCAAGCCTGTCAGCCAGGTTTGGGGTAATGTCAAACCTGTCAGCCGTGATTGGGGTAAAGTTGTTGTTTGGAAATGCCGGCGCGAGGTGCTGGCTCCAGGCTGAAGCATGTTGAAATAACCAAAACCTGTCAGCCCATCAGCCAGCATTGGGATAAAGTCGTTGTTGGGAAGTGCTGGCGCCGTTTGGAAGCAACCAAAACCTGTCAGCCAGGATTGGGGTAAAGTCGTTGTTGGCGCCGTTTTTGAAGCAACCAAACCTCTCAGCCAGGATCGCGGTAAAGTCGTTTTGCGAAGTGCAGGCGCCGTTTTGAAGCAACCAAACCTGTTAAGCAGGATGGGGGTAGAGGTTTTGGGAAGTGCTGCACCATTTTTGAAGCAACCCGCACGAGCTACTGAGCCCTGATATTTCTGAGGGCTGTTCGGTTCGCACTGCGTATGCCAAGACTGCGTGTGCATCAATGCCTCATTTTCCAAAATCAGAAGCGTGCTCCAATTGTTCATGTCGGGTTTCTGCGCTTCGTGTTTCGGCGCTGTGGATTCTAATTAGACCCTAAGGTGCTTGTTACGCGGGAAGTAGTAGATTGAAAGTAGCGCTGGCGAAAGTACCGAAAGTACCACGCCTGTCACAAGAAACAGGGTTCCAGCCCTCACGGAGCCTCGAAAACGCCGCCTTACTCATCCATAGAGAATGTGCGGACAGTTTCATCGTTCAGAACGTTGCATGCATCGGACAATACAGGGTTCCTTAAAGCCCTTAAATGAAATTCTACAGCAGTATATCCCCCAAAACCCCAGTCTAACCGCAGAGGGCGGGCGGGAGGGGCAATGATGTTCTGGTTTCGTGATCTCCTCTTCGTGACTTTCTTCTTTCTTGCTTCCGGTGTTTGTTCTTTTCTTCTAGGTCCTAGGTGGGGGGAGAGCGGGGGAGGTGGTCGAGGCTAATGATGTTCCTGTCTGAAGCCCGGAACTCTCCAGCCAAGCCACACAGGCCCCGGTGCTGATGTGATCTTGCCGCACCGCCACCACCTGTGTGGTTCTCAGACTTGGGCACGGAGCCTGCCTTGGGGAGCTCGAAGCTTTTTATGAGATTCGGACTCTCGCGACTCGAACAATGAAGGGCTTAAATAGAACTACAATTGCACTTCAGACCGACGAAATTGAATAGTGTTGCAATCGAGGATTGCAAATCACATCTTGGAAACTTCAATCCTGCAGCACTGTTCTTGTGTTGATATGCCTTCTTGCCTGTATTTGCGATCCGTGCATGTTCTTGTGAGTTATTGCGTTCTGGTGTGCTCTTTGTGTGCTGACCTGGTTTTAGATACTTCATGCGTTCTCAAGTGCTCTGCTGCGCTTCGTATTCAATTTGTTGATTGCCATAGTCTCCTGCCTCTCTTGGCATGATGCTGTGGCCGTGGGCACGTGGGGCAGCGTCAAAAATTCCGGCTGACTACATGCTTATTTGTCCCACTGCATGCTTATACATGTACTGGTTTTGCCTGTTTTTGTTGGCATAGGGCATAGGGAGCGAAAAGACGTGCCGTGTATGTTTCCCAGGTCCCCCTACACCCCTGCTGCCATGGTGGAACATCTGTGCCGAATCTGGCTGGTAACTTACGAAATTTGTACAGCCAGCTTCGCGCGTTTTCCATCAAACACATATTTCCGCATTAGTTTTCTCAAATGACTTTTGCTGACTCTTGCACTCGCATTTGCTCTTTCTACCTGATTCTACCTACCAAAGTGGTATCCATTTCTAAAGTCTTCCGTAAGTCTTGCAGCTGGGAAGCGTGAACCTTTTCTGCAATGCCTGGGTCAAATGTACTGTTTCAAGCCCATATAGCCAGCAGCTTGTTCTTGATGGTAATATCATGCACGTTAGGGCACTTGACGCCAGAACGCGTTGAGCTTGAGCCATAGCTGGAGAGGGCATTTTATGGTTGATTTCATGCCTGATGTCCACGGCCTGTGTTATTTGATGTCCGCAAACAAGTTGCCTGATTTACCCTTTCTAAATCGTGTGCCATTTGCAAAGGTCTCATTACAATATAGCAGCATTTGCTGACACCTTCTCATCTTCTCCATTTCGTGCAACAGCTTGTTGCATGATTGCGTGCATGTTGTGACTAGAAGTGTGTCGTGAGCAGAATACACTCTGTCCAAGTCAAGTCCTTCCAACCGTGCAGTTCGCATTCTAGCCGTGATATTCCGAGTAATGCCATGATCAATAGCGCTCATGCGCAAAGAAAGCAAACACGGTGAAGAGGGCAGCGCTGTCTAATGCCTGAGCTCTGAAATTTGCCATAATCGTCTTCTACAAAGAACCTTGGGTTCCTGTAGCACTCTGTGAGAACACCGATAAAGTTATGAACGCCGCAGTGCTGCAAAACAATAGCCATGCTGTCATGTTGAACCCTGTCAAAGGCTCTCTCCCAATGAAGCAGTGTGATGATTAAGTTGGTCCGGCGATGTCTTGATACGTCTTGCAAAGAAAACTGCATGAGAAGTGCTTCGAGAAGGCCTACAACCATATTGAGTTGCAGATAGGTGGGGCCGAGTCAGGCACGGCCACATATGTCTTTTGTAAACGGAGTTTAGGAGTGAAATAGGTCTGCAGTTTGAAAGTACCTAGGTATCTCTTTGTTTTGTATTGTACAGAGAACAACACGAGCCAAGAAAGCGTCTTCAGAGAGCTGCAATGTACAATTTAATGTGCATTGTGCATGTTCTTCATGTGTTAGTGGCTCTCCCGTGTTAATGGTATGCCCATGCGTCCTCAATGTTGTGGCTGTTTTGCGTTGTCGCGCATGTACCCCAAAATCCGTAAAGACAAGGGAGGCTCCCTAGTGAAAGCCTTGGCGCCCCCAAGCCCTAAACCCTAAAACCCTAAAACCTGAACGCAAGCTGTCAGCCCTAAACCCTAAATACCCTGAACCCTAAGCCCTAAACCGCCCAAGCGCCTGGATTTCGTTGAGGAGATCGAAGGCTCGGCTCCATGCGCTGGCTTGGCCTTAGCAAGGCACACTTTTGTTGGCTTCAGGAGACTTCGTTGCTGAGTTCATAAGCATGAGAAAGTGTACACTTTTTGTTCTATAAGCGATCATAGTATCACAAAAAGTTTAAAGTGTAATGATTCAGCTACCAGGGAGAGATTCAGATTAGGTGTTGTCTGTGTGTTGTGGTTGGTCCCATTGGTGGGGGAGGACTTACTTCCTATGCACGGATGAATGCTGCAACAACTCCTTGCGGCCCTGCTACCCGCGATCTCCCACAACAGGGTCTAGATGAGAATTACTATAACCCTGCATGATGCCTCTCCTCGACCTGGGGTTCTCAATCCTGCACACCAAGGCGCCACAGACTCCAATAAGGGCATTGAAAGTGATGACGTTCGCCTGATTCGCGAGGCCGAACCCCAAAGCGCAAGCCTCAATATCAAATCTAAACCAGTAACCCTGAATCACGACATCGTCAACTGAACTGTGAAGGCCCACTGAAGCTCAGGGACTTTTCAAAACATGCCGAAAACTATGTGCTCCGGGGGCTCAGGGGCTTTGGAGTTAGGACTCTTCCCCTCTGGAGGTTTCCCTCTCTTCGCGCTGCGTTGCTGCTGGGCTTGTCGGGTGTTGTCGGGCAACATGAAGGTTTGTGCTGCGTTGCTTCTGCGCTTTCGGGGTCTTCGCGCCCATGAAGGTTTGACACCTTTCACTGAAGCTCCCCAAACCCTTCCCTGAACCCCAAGCAGGCCCGAGAATCCTACACTGGTCCTACACTCCCCGCATACTACCCTACATTACTACCCGCACTACCCGTCACGACCTAAACCCTAAACCGCCTAAACCCTACAGCAAGATCTAATTTCGAAGAGCCGGCGCCTCTGCCGCAGATTTCGCCATGGACTTGAGGAACGCCAAGGCCTCTTCCACGGCAGGAGATCTCAGAAATTGCAAGTGCCCTACCCACCTGTCACTATCTCTATCCGTTTAGATGTCGCCCGCCCTACTAACAGTCCCCACAAACAGTAGCACACAAACATCATCAGCAAAACCGCAATTTTCGTGTGCTAAGTTTTGTGCTCCTAGGTGTGTTCCCTGCCGGTGCTAAATTTTGTGCTCATGGTTGTGCCCTTTCTGATGCTAAATTTTGTGCTCATGATTGTGCTTGTAATCACAAGTTGAGCCCCTAACAATTCGCTTTTGAACTCATACTTACAGTCTTGATGCTCGGCAAATTCTGTGCTCATGATTGTGCTTTTCTGGTGCTAAACTTCTCTGGCGCTAGAGTTTGTGGGCCTTCAAATCCTGGTGCTCATTTCTTCTTGTGTGGTATATAAGAAACCTTTAACTGATAGTGCTGATAGTGTGGGGGGCAGCATATAAATCTATCCGTCTATGCACTTTTTGCCAGCTAACTCGCCCGATCTCTCATTATCTCTTCAGAATTTATCTATCTATCTATCTATCTACCTATCTTCCCGTCATCATTGCCTCGTAGCCGTTCGGCACTGGGCAAACTTTCCATTTACGAACAGATCTGCCAAACCCTGTGACATTTATCTTCCATCAAAGCTTCAAAGATATTGCACCCAAACACCGCGCACCTGCTGCCAGCGGCCAGCCAGGGCACAAGCGTCGATTGCTGCGGTGAAAGACACCACGGTCCCTGCCAGCACAGGCGGGATCCGGTT